AACATCTGTAGTCTGGAATGATTTTATTTAGCCAGTTGTCCACTTATCATGGGTGTGGCCAAGTTTCCCATCATCTCATAAAGTTTATTTACAGCCATCAGTCCTGGCGCTCAGTGTTCTGTGCTGTTATTTAACTCTACTTTACTCCTAAATGTCTTCTAAGAGCCCAGTAAGCAGTGGAAGTGTTGGTAATATAACTAGACAATATTTGCCTCCTTTGGTTCAACAAATTATCTGGTTTGGAACTGCTCAGGTCCTGAGTGTGCCAGGCTAGAGAGGGTCAACCTGTAATACAGATATTGATCTTTTTTTTTAGATTTTTTAATTTTAAGATTTCCTTTGGTTTCAGAGTGAAGATGGAAACTTGTTGCAGGTGCTTAATATTGATATTGTGATTGATAATAAGATTGACTTTGAATATCTAGACAGGTTTAGGGAATCTTCACATCAGACTATTTTTGGATAATATATTTAGCTTTTGAGACACTGGATATATCAAAAGATGTTTTTATCATGCACATTAAATATGATTCCAGATACATTATGTAAAGAAGCAGGGGAGGCAAATACAAATAATTAAATCCAGCTTGTCTATAAAAAGTCGTATGAAATAGATACAACATACGTGCTGCTATTTGTGTGATGAATCACAAAGCCTCACATGAAGTCTACCCATGAATCCATTTCCTAATTGATACTCATTTTAATAGTTGAACTTTATAAACAACTTCAACAGCTACCATGTTAAAATGTTTCCTGCTGTTCCTGCAACTTTGGACTCTCCACTCAAAATTATGGGTAACATTTTCAAAAGCACATATGTGATTTAGTAACCTCAATCCTATTTTCGAAAATGACTTAGGCTCATCAGTGCCTAAGTCTCATTGAAAGTCAATGACACATATAATATATTGTCTGATACGTAGGATATGTTGAAGGATAGTTCATTGGTATGAAAGCATGACTTATTTTAAGCTGCTAAAGTCAATGCGAAGTTTGCAAGTCTACCAGATAAGTATTAGCTGCACAAATTAAGAGTCCGGTTCTATTAATGCATGTTATTGAGTGCTGGCTGTGATTCAGAGAACATGTATGCCTTCATATTCAGGAAGTACTTAAGCACCTCCTTAACTTCAACCATGTGCTTAATTCTCATTGACTTCAATTTGATTGATGCACACACTTAAGTTAAATTATGTGCTTAAGTGTTTTCTTGAATGAGACCCAGTTACTAGGGGATTTCATATGGTAGTAAGCATTAAAGTCCAGATCCTTTAGTACTAATTGGTACACAGTACATGAAAGGGGTCTGTGTGCAAAAGTGTCTGGCCAAGAACTGCATTAACTCAAACTGGCCACAGGGATTGAGAGTGAGCAAAAGACTCTACATTGAATCCTTGCCATTGGAAGATGACTTTTATACCAGTTAGGCTAGCTTTGGAACCATATTCTGATAGCTGTGTAGTGCATATTGGCCTCATGATACTGTAGAAACGAGTCAGATCTTCAGACATATTTACAGACCCTAAGCAGCTTAACATAGAGGGTTGGGCATGATAGGATGAGTTTTTAAAATATCTTTCTAAAAACAAAACCATTATTAAATGTACAATCCCAGAAAGTTATGTAAAAGGACAAATTCTACACATGAACACGTGGAGCTCCATAGACGTCAATGAAGTGTTGCTATCTTGGTTTGTTTTTCTTCCTCTCAGTTGCTTTTGCAATACATTAATAATCATTTTTGCTATATTTTGGTTGAGTCTCCCATCTTTTGACTTTTATCAGAAGTTAACTGATACCTTAATTTCCATATAGAGAAATTAATTAGCCATAATTCAAAGTAGTAGCTTATAAATTAAATATATCGCTGTAGTTAAGTAGTTAAATGATTTTTATCCAATGTTGCATATGAGCTTTCCATTCTAAATCAGAAATCAGTGTCACTTTATGAGGGAAAAACCCAAAGAAAATGACAGAACTGTGTGGCTGTGTCACGTTACTGGATTTTGAGGGGAGCAGCCAGATCACGGATATATCCATGGGGGGGAAGTGTTGGCCCCAAAAGTGGTACAAAAAGTGGGCCATGTGAGGTGTCGAATAGAAGCTTACTTTCTTCAGATTCCATATATGCTATTCGTGTAATTGTATAATGTCGGTGTGTGAAGTTATAAGCATGTACTTTGTGTGGATACCAAATGTTTCTCTGTATGTGGTTGAACTATGGGCAAAGCAGCTCAGCCTACGGACATGCTAATGAGCAAGTCTCTATGGAACAATAGCCGTCTATAGGCCAAGGACACACCTCAAGAATGGTGACTGATACCTAGGGGCTACCAGCAGGGAACACAAGGATAGGCCACGGGCCAGGTGACCTGCTGCAGCCAAGAAGAGACCAGGAAGGAGGTATAAAGATGCCATGTGGCAGCCTCCATTTTGTCTTCAGATCTGCTCCTGACCCTAGATGCGGCCTCGCAGGAAATCACGAGCCGGGAAGAACTGTGGACCCATCCAGACATAGGCTGTACACCAATGACTTTTAAGCCAGCAGTTATAACATCTCTGCTGCGAGCCTGCATCGAGAACTGGGAGATTCGATGCATGTAATATATGGTACTTTAACAACCTTGCTCTCATGCTTTTCGTTCTTTCAGTAATAAACCTTTAGATTTTAGATTCTAAAGGATTGGCTCAGCGTGATCTTGTGGGTAAGGTCCAGAGTGTACATTGACCTGGGATCTGTGGCTGGTTTCTTGGAACCGGACACAACTTGTTTGGGGCTGGTGAGATTGGGCTCTAAGACCCCTCACCTGTGGGCAGGCCCAGAGCCATCTGGGCACAGATATTGCTGAGGTCTCAGAGGGGTTTTGCTCGTGAGGTTTCTGGCTGGCCAGGCAGGCAGCTGAAGCGCTCTGTGGGACTGGTTTGTGGCTTATTTGGGAAGGTCTCCAGTCTGGGGGCTGTAAGGAGCCCCAAATTTGAGCAATTCACCCTGAGCAGATGCCCTCAGCTGTGCCCAGACCCGGCTCGGTCTGTCACAGGCTTTCATGATAAAACATAGAGATCTCTCTGAACTACAGTACAGTGTTTTGTAGGATCCTTTCAGATCTGCAAAAAGTTTGCTGCTATTTAAGTTTTTGCTTTTTCCAAAGTGGATATCCTTGTGGCTGGCCTGTAGTCAATGTTTTCAGTTGTTGTTTTCATTTATTAGTGCATATTTTTATGTACGGTAGGGCATACTCAGAAACATTCCCTCAGTAAAAGATTCCTCAGCTGCCATGAGTCTGAGGGTATATCAGTAGTACAGTTAGAGGTGTGACTGCAGCACAGGCTGGCTACCTGTGCTAGCTTTAATCCAGGGAGCATGCTAAAAATGGCAGCAAAACTGTGTCAGCACAGACTTTACGGAGGGTTATAGAAGCACCCTGAGGACCCTTGCCACGTACTCACCTTGCTAGCCTGCATTGAATCTTGTACTACACATCTTCACGGCTACTTTTAGCCATGCTAGCTAGATTAAAGGTAGCATGGGATTGCCACAATGACATCTCCAGCTGCAGGGTAGAGGTATCCTAATACATTTATAAAGTGATATCTGTATATGTAAATTAAACCCTTCAAAACCTTTTGTTATATTAAATATTATATAATATACTATAAGCCTCTTTGTTTGGAACACCTCTCTCAAAAATTATGTTAGAACAATAATAGTGGCAAGCCCTGCTCTGGAGTTAGATTGGATGGCAAGAACGTGAAAGGAACTTTTTGTGCAACTCACTCCAAAGGGCTTGCCACAGTTTCTCTGCAATTAAGATTACTCTCTTTGGTGCCTCAAAGGTGACAAGGAGGAAACACAGCTACGAGCCTGGCCATTCCACCTGCTTTCTTAGCCCACGGAAGTACTAGCTGCATTGGGGAAAAGCAGATTGCACTGTCTCCATTATGTGCCAGGTTTCCATGAGGCACTATTGCATCTTCAGCTATTTTGAGTATGGTGCAGAGATGGGACATTAGCTTAGAACATTGCAACTAATGTAACTTGGTTCCTGACAGTGCATTGTGAGTGCCTTCTGTAGCTAATAAATGTGCTAGTCAAATTGTTTTGCCATAACACCACTAATACTTCCCACACAGTTGCCCCTGATCCTCAGATATGTGTATAGGTAGCACCTCCCAAAACTGAATTCTCTGGTCCAGCAACATCCATGGTCTGGCAGGACCACAGATGCTCCTTGATCAGAAAACCCCGGTAGCCTAGTGGCAGAAGAGCAGTCCAGGAGGGGCTGGTTGAAGCAGTGGGATGGGGCAGAAGCTGGCAGCAGCCCTCAATAGCCTGTGTCACTGGGACCATGTTGGGGCAGCCCCTGCCGGTGCAGGAGTAGGCCAGCAACAGCCCATGGCAGCGCGGTCAGTCTGTGGAAGCGAGACCAAGACTGAGGCTGGTGGCAGCCCCCAGCAGCATGGGTCTGGAGCCCTGGACAGCCTGCGGAAGCTGGGCCAGAGCCTGTGGAGCAGGAGCCCACAGTCTCAGCAGTCTGCGGCAGAGGACCTAGGTCTGGGGCTGGAGAAAGCCCCAGCAGCCCACAACAGAGTGGGGCTGGAGCCTCGGACAGCTGGTGAAAGCAGGACCAGAACCACAGGCTGCTGCGGGGCTGGGGCCAGAGCCTGAGCCCTTGGCAGCCCGATCAGAGCTAGAGCCAGTCCCTAGCAGCTCATGGTAGTGGGGCTGGAGTCTGTGGCAGTGTGAGCTGCCGGACCCCAGCAGGCAATCCAGCTGGGGCAGCAGCAGCGGGATCCCTCCTTATTTTGGTCAAATTGTCTTGGTGGTCCTATGTCATCTTACTTTTTTTGTGGTCTTTCAAAAATGAACTAACCTTAATGACACTGAGCTTATGATTATTTTGTTTAAATTCTTTGATTCACCGCCACTCCAAGGACATGGTTAATAATACATAAGCTCTATGTGTACTGAATTTTTCTTGTATCTTTCTTCTAAACAGGCTTTCAAGTTTACTTCTGTGGAGAAACTTGACAGTACTCTGACCTTCTTATTGAAAAGCAAGGTGTCTGTGTCTGAATTCGGTGCTTTCCCGAATGAAGAGGATCATCAACAAGCTAGTGAGTATATTCTCTTATGCATTGATTTGTATCCTGCTATTGTAGCAATTGCCTATTTAAGACAAATTTTGGATGTTCATATAGGCACCATTAGTAAAATGCAAAATTCTTCATTAAGAGCACCAGTAATCAGGACATAGTTAAAATAGCTTACAAACATCTGTCACATTGTTGACACATACACTATGTCAAAAATTGTGCATGTTACTTGTGTTTGGTCATGGCTACAAGTTTAATTTCAAGCTGTGGCTATTGATAGGCAATAAGAGATGTACACCAATATTGAGGAGATGAGAGAGAGAGAGAGAGAGAGAGAGAGAGAGAGATTGAAATGAGATATATTTGCCCTACTTTGTAATAATCATTCTCCCACAATACAGATTTTAATTTAATTTTCTAATTATTGTTAGGATGTAATTGTTCAAAATGCAAAAAAGAGGATAGATGTGTTTGAATCTTAAAACTATCTATTGCATTAAGTATCTATACTGGGGAGGGCAAAAGGAGCAGTTGCCCTGAGGTCCAGCGTTACAAAGGGGCCCAGGGTTTCTGGCTGCTGCTACTGCTATTGCAGCAATGACAGTGGCTGGAGCTCCAGACCCTTTAAATCACTGCCAGAACACTACACTGCATGCTTCATGCAACTCTGAGGGCTGGGGGGTGGGGGAGGTCTTGCCACACTCTGAGCATCATGGAGAATTGGCTATCCCTGGCCCCGCCCCTTCCAGGGGCAGAGAGCCAACATCTTCCACTTTGTTGAGGGGTTCACAAAGGCTGTCAGTTCCCCTGTTTAGAGACCAGATTCGAAGGCTTGGTTGAATTCATTTACATACTTTATGTTTCCAACACATTTGAAAGTATATTGCAAATATCTGATGGCTCTTCCTTAGTTGGGCTTCTAAAGTGTCATGGTGGGCATTTGCAAGATGTATGACAGACCTGAGTTTCTCCTGAAGCCTTGCTGCAAAGTTAGAAGCCCAGAAAATACAGATTTTCCCTGTCAGTTTTTATTGAGTATGAATTTGAGGCATCAAAAATATCCATAATGAATGAATATTTATTTGAGTTAGTTTCTTTCTTCTCATTTGGGTACATGGAGCAAGGTTTCAGGAGAAATATACTTATTACTTCAAAATACAAGATTGGAAATATTATTATTGTCATTGATATTTGTCATGTTGACTTATATTTTTCATAACCACAGTCTTGGTTACTCTTGGTTTCTATCCATAGAGTACATATTCATCTCTCTGCATAAGCCCAGCACAAGGCCTATTCATCACTTAAATTCCACTTACATTCTCAAAATAAGTCTTATGTGGGTTTGAGGTGCTGCATACCAATCTGTCAGCCTTATGCCCATCCTCTGGAGTGATGGTGTATAACTTTTATTGTATATGTCATGTATCGTACCTCTCCTTATTACTTCAGTGAGACAAAGTTTTGCCTAAGTAAAGTGTAAAGAATGTGCTTTGAATATAGACATTATTGCTCTTAACCTTCCTGCATTATGGGAGTGATAATGAGAAAAGAAAGTGGCTTTCATATCTACATTAACAAATCAGGAGTTAAACTTTTAGTGACCAAAACTGTTACCATCCCATAGCTGTTCATAGCCAATTGTGGACACACCAGAGCAGTTCTTTATGGCTATACAGCTGTGAAATGTTTCAGAAATATTCCCTGTGCTTAGCTTCAGTATGACAAATCTGCAAGTTCAAGAACAGTTATTTTCCTTCTGAGGCTTTTGTGTGTTCAAATAATTACAGTACTTTGCTAGCATATACAACATAAAACCTCTTTTGTCCATTTTAATGAGTTAAATACGGTACAGTAGAACAATTCTTTACAGTAGAACATCTCTAATTTGAGCTAATAGGAAACCCATTCCAAATTACTGAATGTTTTGGATCAGCAATTAAGTGAACAATTGCCATTTAAAAAAAGTAAGCTAAGAAGCAAAGTACATTTTGTGATGCATTATCCTTATTCATTTATTTTGACAGGTGACGATTTAGTTTTTTATGATGATACTTCACAGTGTAACTTATTTTATAATTATAAAAAATTCTTATCAGAAGAGATCTCAATATGGCACTCTGTTAAATCTCTGAGAAGGGAGAGTGCAAACTCTGTACATATTAGTGAAATGCAGATTAGCATCTGCTCTATTTCATGTGGTATACAGATATGTTTACTACAGGTTGAACATCTCTAGTCCAGCACTGTTGGGACCTGACTGGTGCCAAACTAGAGAATTTGCCAAGCCACAGGAGGTCAATATTGTCTGTCAGTATTACCAACACTTCCACTGCTTACTGGGCTCTTAGAAGAGATTTAGGAGTAAATTGGAGCTAAATAACACAGAACACTGAAAGCCTGGACTTGTGGCTATAAACAAACTTTATGGGACTATAGGAAACTTGGCCAAATTAATGATAAGTGGGCATCCAGCTAATTAAAATCCTGCTGGACCATGGATGTTGCTGGACCAGAGAGTGCCAGGTTAGAGAGGTTCAATCTGTAGAAGATTTACTCAGTGTTGCTTGTGTCCTAAACTCAATTAATTTTTGGAGGGGAAGGGGCTTTGGAAAATAAAATGAAAATGTACTTGCTTCATTTAAATCATTGCTCTTAGGTGAGTTTGGGGATAAGGGTTTCAGCATGCAGGCTGCCCTGGGGAGAGACTAGCCCAGACTTCTCTCACCCCTGCACCTTGGGTTCAGGTGAGAAGCACCTCTCCATGGCTGATACAGATCCAACAGGCACAGCTGGGGAAGGGGTGCATGTTCCCTGGCTGGGGCAGGTCCAGGTTTGTCTGCCCTCTGTGTTCCCCAGCCAAATTGAGTAATGCAGCAAACGCTCCATTTTCCTCTCATTAAAGGGCACATGGTAGATGGGAGGCTCCAGGCTGGGCAGTCCCGGATGTGGCAAGGGGGGGCACTGCCAGCTGGCCCCTTTCACCTACTTGGAGATTCTGTTTCTTTTCTGTACGGTTTTATGAGAAGCAATCCCATTCCAGGCATATCCCTGGCAAAACCAAACCCTGACCTTGGTTTAAGTTGTGAAAAGTGGAAGTTCGATACTGAATTTGGCGGTCCTAGCTCTTACCATTTAGGAGGAGTTCTTGGACAGATGGACAGACAGATAGACAAACTCTCTCAAATATGTAGTAGATAAAATATAACTAAACTAGCTCATGCAGTGCAAGATAAAATCTCTAGAACATTTTAGCTAGCCCATTGTTCTAAATCATCTGTATTATTACAGTACACCACTAATGGCGTAAGTAATTAGTCCTATTCCCACTTGCTTCAAAAGCATTTGAACACTGCAAAAATTCTAATTGTAGCATAATTTCTAGTGGTCTAAACAGTATTTAAGGTGGTGCAGAACCCTATATTTCCTATTCAGATGTGAGATGCCATTTAAGTGAAAGAAAAGATGTGTGTAACTGTAGCTACTGAGTACTGACATTAGCCACATGACATGATATATAAGGTTTAGTAACAGACCTCTTACCAACATTCATATGTATCACAAGACAGACCTCTTACCAACATTCTTATGTATCACATCCTTACTAAAGGTGGAGCTGAAATTCATGCCACCAAGAAAGTAGCTGGAGTCCTTCACTAAGGCTGTGTCTACACTGGGCCACTTATTCCGGAAAATCAGCCGCTTTTCCTGAATAAGCTGCGAGCTGTCTACACTGGCCCCTTGAATTTCCGGAAAAGCAGCGACGCTCTATTGTACAAAATCAGCCGCTATTCCGGAAAAACTATTCTGCTCCCGCTCGGGCATAAGTCCTTATTCCGGAACACTGTAGTCTTTTCCAGAAAAAAGCCCAGTAGTCTTTTCCGGAAAAAAGCCCTGATCGCGAAAGTGATGCTTGGGGCTCTTTTCCGGAAAGGCGCGTCTACATTTGCCACGGACGCTTTTCCAGAAAAAGGGCTTTTTGCCCTTGTAGACGCTCCTTTTCCGGAAATACTTATAACGAAAACTATTCTGTTTTAAGCATTTCTGGAAATTCATGCCAGTGTAGACACAGCCTAACAGAATTTATCTTCCTTTCTTCATTGATTTTTTGAGCCAGATGCCATGATACACTAAGGAAGGGGAAAATGTGGAAGAAGCTTATTAGCACCTCCATAGTTTAGATCACATGGAGATTTTTATTTAAAGTGCAAATAAAATCCTGTCATCCACACTTCATAATCAAATCAAATTGCTTTAACACAATAATTCTTCAATTTGTCTATAATTTTTTTATTGGTGAAAGATTCTGTAACCATGGCAGAAGTGAGCCTTTTTTTTTTTTTTTTTTTTTTTAAATTACCCTGGAGAGTCTAAGGTTTTTCTGGGCCCTTTACAGCTAAAACACCCACAGTCATTATAAACCGCAAAGTTCATACACATGTATATTTTCATAACATCTCACATATTAGTAAGGCAGTTTTCAAGTTACATTAAACACAAACTCCTCTTATTCATTATAAGCCAATGTAGATCCACAAATAGAGAAGCTGATGGAGTTGCCAGATACGCCAGCTCCATCTGTTCTCTCTTGTTGGCCAGCTTGCCTTCCTGACTCCCCAGCTATCTTCTGTGAATTCTGGATGTCATAGGATGGTGAGGAAGTGAGTCTGTGACCAGAAGGTAAAGAAGGATGATGTGATGACCGTGCATACTGCAAGGGGCACAGGGTAAAGAGAAGAAGCAGATCAGAGAGGAGCAATGTTCCAACAGGTTCCTTATAATTTGTTGGAGGGAAATACTGCATAATGTCAACATACCCCAGTCATCAACAGATGAATTGAACCTGGGTGCTTTGGAGCTTAGTACAGTAGCTTCTGTAGATAAGGTTAGAGAGCAGACTAATTTCTCTCTCTGTAATTGGTCTTGGGGCCACTAGATGGGACCCAGAAGATGTGTGGGTTACATACTTCTAGCTGAGGGGGCATGTGGCAAGCTTCACAGCTGAAATTCCGGATGATGCC